ATCTGTCGGCTTATCAGGTTGATGGGGACGAATCTGAGCATCTATCCGAATCAGTCCCCGGTACTTTCACATTCCGCAGCGACCACACCATCCAGGTCGACAACAGCCCGTCCAAGGGGTTTGGCTCGGCGGCCGGCCAGGCTAGTCTACGACAAGTTCGAAAATCCGCAGCATCCTCGACCAAGATGCCCGGCAGCTTTCCCCGTATTCCTGAAGCATCGCCAAACAAGGAGAACGATGCCCCGCTTACCCACAACGGCATCCCCCACGGAATGAGCAACAAGAAACGTCACAGAGCGAGCTCAGACGAGGATGATGATGACGAAGAATTCAAGCGAGGCGCGAAGAAGCTGCGCAAGAATCCATCGGTGGCGGAAGGACACGCTCTCGTGGCGCCGAGACTCCTCGGCCGGGCATCCCCTGGCAAGAAGGCGCTGGGCACCACGCCTCAAACGCCCAGTCCTCAGAAGAAGAAGAAGAAGACGGGTCTGAGCCTGAGTCGACTGCAGATGCTCGCCCAACCGAAAATTCGAAGATAAGCAGTTATGCCTCATCGAACTGCCACGTTGGGCTGGCTTAGGATTGATATTCTACGTTGATGGTATACGACATTCACGGTGTAGTGCTATCACGACGTTGACTTGACTTGATTGCCTAATCAAGAGGGTAGCATTGCATTTGTTGTGGAGAACTTTGATGGGATATGTTCTCTACATAACTTGGCGGCTCTGGGCAGATATTCCAACACATCTGGCTCAGGCCCTCATCGTCATGAGGGTAGCCAATCCGGTTTCTTTGCTTGTTTATGTTCACGTTGAGGAGAACTATGTTCCATGGTGGACACGACTCTGTATAACTAAAGGGGAAAGGAAAACTCATTTCACGATCAGGGGAGGGGAATTCGGCGGCAGGTATGAGGCGTTTGGGCGACACCGGCGTTGTTGGGATACTACGATGAAGAATGAATAAAACCCGAGTTCAGTACTCGGGCGAGACCGATACGGTTCTGTGTATTGTTCGGAATGAGGTTCAATGACGATCTAGACTGTTCACTTGACTCATCGTTTTGTTGCTGATGTCGCTATGAGATGGCTTGATCGTGACCGTGGTGCTATCGAAGCAAGTGATTGCTGGTGTGGAATACTGATGCTCAGCTTCTAGCGGAGGGCTGCATATAACTACTTCGGGGTATAAGCCTCTATTTTCGCCCAGCCTGAACGCAATCAGGGATGCCTTGGCCGCTGTCATTTCGTGTCAGAAGATATTTGGAGCAGGTGAGAGTCATTGATCCTTATATACCAGCAGGGTTAACGGCTAGCCTACTCGTTGGAAGTAGGTAGGCAGGGTTAGAATGCGAAGGAACCACCGCATTCTAAGTATCTAGATGGGTAGGGAATACCTACACGTAGGTAGTACTCACGCACCTACCCTTGAACATGTATGTAACAAAGTATGTGGCAGATCATTTGATTGTCGTGGCGGAGGCAGCCTTTCTTTCATTGCTGTCCACCCATCACGTCCACACACCATATTCCTACGCCTAATCCAAATATTTCCCCGTCGGTCTCTACCTACTCTATCTGCATTATCCCCTACCTTTGGTTACTTGCAAGTTACCAACTACCTACCTACCACATACCAACCGACTATCTACTCTTATCTAGAGTACACATAATGTCAGAACAGTCCTTCTCATGGACCTCCTGCCGATGCTCCTCCGACCGCCCGCCCCGCATCCTCGGCCATGAGGCCCAACTCGTCTGTGGCACGGTCCCCGACCCCGCGATCCGCTAGGTGCGTGGCGGTGTCGCCTATCGCGTCTACCGCGGAGACGAGTACCTCAGCCTGGGCCATTGTCTCTGTCATCGCGGGTGTTGCGGGTGGTGCGGGTGTTTGTTTTGCGAGGATGTCACCGGGTCAAATATGAGGGAGTTAGATGACCACCACGGCCACGAAGATGAGGGTTATGGTGTTGCAGCTACAGATAACGAGCTCAATCCATACACAAGAATGAGTAGGTATGAGGAAGGGCGGGAAATCATCGAGGTCCCCTTATGCGTCTTTTACGCCATGGCCCGTGAAAACGATGACGACACCGCTCTATCGAGGAAAAGAATCGAAGTCGCTAATGGGCGGCCGGTCACCACTATCGCACCGGCGGGGACGAATCAGCTTGGGGGCGACAGTTCGATGGACATTCCACTATCATCCCCCATCCCTCCCTTAGACGAAGACGGCGACGAGACCACGATTAGGGGCAGTATAAGGCCAGGCGAGACGATAGCGAAATTACACATCCGACGATCGAGGCGGGATCCGCGGTTCGCGGAACTCGAAGGCGTAATCCCCCTGGATTCGGCTGTGCAGATTTCGATGGACCTCGACCACCCCTTTCACACTCACACCCACATGCCTACGCCATCACGTCCTCCTCCCGCTCCCGCGAGACGACGTTTGCCGTGGCTACGTTCACGGAACCAAAACGAGGAGGAGGAGGAGGAGGAAAAGGAGCGGCCAGCGTCTGTTCTCGATGCGCATTTCCCTCTGTGTTGTGTCGAAAAAACGGCCAGGTCCTATGTTGGTGAAACACTCGCGGACGAGCCCAGGTTAACCGAAGCAAATATAATGCTTGATGTGAACTTTCATGTACATCGATTAACCAACCTCGTCGGTCGGGACTCCCACGGCAAGGGAATAACCGGTGTACAAGATCCAGGATTCGACCCAGAGCCCGCAGACACCGAAAGTCTGGAGAGTACAACGTTGGCAGAACCCCGATTATCCCCGCCGCCTGTCGGGCCGGCTTTGGCCACGACTGGCGAAACGCCGATGCTGTTGCCCTCGAGGCTTACCGAGGAGGAAGATAAGCACAGCAGTACCGATACTGATGCCGACACCGACACCGCGGACACGAACACTCACAGCACCAACACCAAAGCAGAACCAAGCAACGACACAATCTCCGAGAAGAAGCCGGAGGCGAAGGGGAAGAGCGTAGCCTGGGACTCGACCGTCACTAGAGGCGAGACCGAGAGCGATCCCGATCCCGAGAGCGAAAGCAGCCACGAGAGCTACGAACGGGAACCCGACTACTATACACAAAGAACTACCCCGTGGGGCGACCCGCGCAAGCGACCGCCGACATCTGTACAGCGTGAGACGCCTGCGCAGTCGAAGGGGTACATCGACTTGTATCACCCAGATGAAATGGGTAAAAGAGACGATACGCCGCTGGCCAGTCTTGCGATGCCTGGACGACGGCATGATCGCCGGGTTGGGAGGGGGAGGGGAGCGGTTTGTTCGAAGTGTGGGCATTGGGAATAGGGAGTGAGGATGCTAGATTAGATTGGATTGGATTGTTGAGTGGGACGGCGTTTAGTTTGTTGCTTATGTACCTAGGTATGTATGTATGACTGCGGATTATGAATGGGGTTGTGGATAATGGTACTTTACAGGTATTCTTAGGACAGAATGGATTACTTGAATTGCTTGTATCAAGTGGCTTTGAAATGGATTAGGTATTCATTGCTTCGTTTCTCGTGAAGTATGGGCTATTGTATCGTATACAATATTATTTGTTGTACGGGACCGTATATATATCCCATCCTATCCCGTCTCGTCTTGTTAGGAGTGTTGCGAGTGAAAGAAAAGCCCGCCGGTTAATTCTGCCTTCCATCCACCTATCCACCCTCAATTCAACTCCAACAGTATAAACCACGTTTTAAAAAAGACCCTCGGGCCGTATACCAAAGGAAATGGGGCAGCTAGGCATTGTATAGCGCGGAACGTGATTCCAGGACCAGCAATCAATCGCGAACAGCAGAAAGGCATAGAGAAACTAATTTTTGACCGCCCGACTCACGGGTGCCGTGCCCGTGCGCTGTGTGTACAGCATGTATCCCAGGACAACGGCGGCGAGGGTACCGAGGATGAAGAAATTATCTGGGGACGATGACGTTAGCTTGCCACTCATTCCCCGGGTTTGAAGCAGACCAAAGTAGGTAGAAAAAGACTCACGAAATGCAAAACCAAGAGTCCCCTCGACGAAATCCACGAAGCCCCTGAACACGCCGACGATGCTGTTGAGGATAAACTCGAACAGGTGTATGATGCCGACGAATGCGCCGCGGATTGTCTCCAGGATGGATTCGACGAGGTGGGTGATTCCTGATGTTACGCCCATTTTGAGAGTAGTTTGGGTTGTATGGTTCGGCTTTGTTTGTTTATTTGGTTTGGTTGGCAATGGTGTTTTGAGAATGCGCTTAGATTTTGAGAGTTTAGAATTGATGGCGTGTCTGCCTACTCTATATGGCTGTAGTGTATGGCTGCTGGGTACCACAGAAGTGGAAAGCTGAAGGTGAACAGGTAAGTAAATAAATAAATATATAGATATTGCGGTAAGATAAAATACAAAAGATCAATGTCGCAAATCATCTCTGTTCCCTCCTTTCCCATAATACGCCACGTGCTAACTCAACGGCAAACATACGTCAGATCTAGACCCAAACAGGGCAGCACAACAGCGTCTTAACAGCATCGCTGACCATCTGCTCCAGCCCGCGCAAATCAGACAAAGAATCTGCCACACGGCGATGACGAGGTGGTGTCGGTTATGGTGATGTCATCACTTGGTCGTTAAAGATACAGTCCCTTTCGCAGCTGATTGGATGGAGATGCCTGTGCTTATTAGACAGACTACCGCATGAGGCAATGACATCGTGCGGCTGGGGTTTTGATTGGTTGGGGGCTTTGACCTGCGCTGTCTCACCTCAGTCCAGTCTTGTCTTTTATGATGATGAATATTCAATTAAATATGGCATACCAGGACTATAACTCTTCTACGAACCAGCACTAAGCGATTTCATCGGTACGCATGCATATATACTGTCATACCCTTGCCGATAAGAAACAGAAGAGAAACAATATCACCATAAATATCAAGCCAAAGAAAAAAGGAGGGACAATCAATGAAAAAGAGTCTAATCCCCCATAAAGAGTCACGATCCCGGCCGGACTCGAACCGACAATCTCTAGAGGCTTTCATTTTCACCGAAATCTAGCGCCCTACCATTGGGCCACGGAACCGACGACGAACAAATTGCTCGTTCGAGAAGCACGTGACGAAAAACCGCTCCGTTGTTGCACCTGTAGTGTAAAGCGAAGGAACGTATGATTAGAACACGACGTCGCGAGGAAATCAGACCGTGGAATCGCTTGGTTCCGGTGCTTGTGGCCGGAATCCAGTCAGTCTTGTCTGGATGTGTTACTACAGTAGGTACTTAGTAGGTAGGTAGGAAAGAACATAGATGCAGGAATAGGAGGGACGCGGGAACCAACTTCAAGGTAGGTAGTTCGCCAGGCAATGCAACAACAAAAGTGTATCTTCACATCGAAACACTGCTGTGCAATTTGGCGTGACGTAGGGTAACGTATCTAGGTACAGAGTTGCGAGGGGGGAGTGTATGTACACACAACACTACACAAATTCAACCAGCATCCTCCGGGCCCCTTTTCCATTAGTCTACCATCTTTTATTTTTTCCATCCGAGAATCTTCATAAAACCGTGTGTTTAAGGGCGGAGAGACGACAGACAGCAAGAAAATCTTTTATCAATAAGAATAACGGAAAATTGAACAGAGTGGTATTATACTCCTTATAACAAACACGTTTCCCAAACGCCGCCCAATGCCCACCATCATCATTTAACCTTCATTCTCGTTCGATACCCGTCTTAGGTGGGTGATCACGCCACAGTCTGCGTCTGCGGATGCGCATCGAGGTCGACGTCGGCGACCAGTGTGCGCTGATGGGCAGAATTACGGACGAGGTTACTGAAGTACTTGAAGGCGACCTCGCTTTCCGTGCGCGTCTTGAGCGTCTCGTCCCGGCGCGAGCCGAGCTGCTCAACGGAGCGCGTGAGGCCGACGCGGAGGTTGTCGGCGGGGAACCGGAGGACCTTGCGCACGGAGCTGGCTATGCGGGTGCTGTTGGCGTGCACGTAGTCCATGGAATCGAGCTGGGCCGAGAGCTTGGCGGATAAGCGGTGAGGGAGCGATTGTGGGATCTGCTTGAGGACGTATGCAGCGGCAGAGATAACTATAGATAGGTATTTAGCAGAGGTAACGTGGTAGTGTCTAGTGTATGAGACTTACCGGCCAGGACAACTGTAGGGATTATCAGTTTCCTGAGATTTTCATTTCCGACAATCTTGGCGACGCTTAATGCATGGTCGACCCAGCCGGATCCGCCAACTAATCGTCCGCCTAGAGCAGTTGCTAACGTCAGAGCCATGCCAGTACCGGCCACCTTCTCCTGGCGTTGCATGAGGGTCGACCAGTCGACGAGATCCCAAAATTCTGTAGGTAGGTCGATCTCCTTTGCTAAGATATCTCGTCGTCTTCGGAACATGACATCGGGTCGGAAACTCAGGTCGTGATATTCGTTGCCGAGATGAAGGATGCCAAGCTGCTTAATGGCGTTTACTCCGCCGACCGCCTTGTAACGAGCATGTTCTTCGCAATCCGTGACGGCCGTCGATATCTCGTTCAGCATCGCTTCCTTGAGATCCTCGGCAAAATCGAATACGCCGAACAAGCCGGGGTATGGTACGCCCAGCGTGCTGTCACCAGCATGGGCAATCGCCGAGTTGAGGGTATTTCTTGAATGATCGTAGATATCCTTGCAGGTTGCCTCGACAGTTTGGTCAATCTCGTCACCCACTTCTGCCTTTGCTTTCTTAGAGGATTCCAGCTGAGGCTCGATCTCTTCCAAATCTTTTGTCACACGATCTATCTCGGACTTTGCCACCTCTACGTTGACGGTGGCGAGGACATGGAGGTCATTAAGAATGTTCATGAGATAGGTCTTGGCAGGGGTGAGCTTAGACCGTGCTCGTTTCTCCAGAACGAAGTGCCTCAGAGACTGCTCTAGTTTTCGGAAGTCTTCAATCTTCTCTTTCTCCTTCCCCTTGCCCTTCGGATCGTTGTTCGGCTCGTCGCCTCCACCTCCTCCGCTAGAGCTACCACTGCCTCCTCCCCCAGGACCACCCGGGGGCGAGGGCCCCATTGGGATGGCGTTGCTTGAAACGAAATGTACCAATTCTGTAGATTCCTTGAATGTACGGGGACTTAGGCCATAGACCTGATCCAATATCAATTTCTGGCATCGTTCCTTGTCGCGGATCATATCAAAACCATTGACGACCATGAATATGTAGGCCTTCTCTGCTGCCGCAGCCCAGATGAATTCCTTGGCCGACTGCGTAAAGTGGTTAGCTGCAGAAACGACAAAGACAACAACGTCGATCTCTTCCTGTCGAGCAAAAATAGCCGTGGTCTTGGTCGTGTCCGAGTTGAGGCCGGGCGCATCGATCAGGGCAATGTCCACGACTCCGTTGTTCAGCAATGACTCGTCCACGGTGCGGACATCCTTGACGTACACCTTGCACTGCATATAAGTCGAGTTATCGAGCACGATCTGCTCGAGTTCGGCGAGCGGAAATACGTCATAGGTTGATTCGTCGTGTCGGTTATAGATGGTGTCCTTGTGTACCGCGTGCACTTCCTCTAGGCCTCCATTTTCCCGTGCATCCAAGACCTCGCAGAAAATACTCGTACAGGGTTGTTGGTCTTCGGGCAACACCTTGCGCCGTAGCAGCGCATTGCAGAAGGTCGACTTGCCGGCGTTCAAATCTCCGGTTATCAGGACCTTGCTAGACGTATCATCAATTCTTTCCCGTAGCGATGTCAGGTGCTTAATGCTTGTGCGTATCTTGCCGTCAAGCAACGACGCCACAGAGGCCTTTTCTAAAGAGTGGACGAGTTCAGCCTGGTTCAGGGCGCCGAGCTTGAGATCGAGCTTGAGGATGGAGAACTCCTGTGCAATCTGGGGTGTTATTAACCGGGGATCGTCAGCAGCAGCTCTGGTCTCGGCGTCCCTGCTAGACTCGGCGGAGTCGTCGTCAGATACAGTAGTCATGGAACGTCGTAGAGGCCGTGGTGGGTGCGCGGGTTCGCCAACGGTAGAAAACGCACGGTGTAAGCCGGGACCTGGCGCAGGCCGTTCGGACGCGGCCATGTCGGTGCGTTGCACGGAAGGGTAGATGGCAGGCCAGGCGGCATTCGTCTCCTGAAGGCCCTGCAAGAGATCGACGACCCTGTTGATGGCGCGGCCCAGCGCGACTCGTTGCTGGTTGTACCATAGCTGCGAAATGGCGGTGACGTGGTTCCGCTGGTCGGTCTCGGAATTGCCGGCCGATTGTCGCGGCAGCACTGCATCCCCGGAGAGGCTCGGATCGGTTCGAGGCGAGCCTAGGGGCAGCTTGGACGAGCCGGGCTCATCGCCGGCAATGCTGCTTCCACCATATCCCGAGTCGCGATCCAGCAGAGATTGCAGTCTGTTGGCGTGGTACGAAGTTGAACCGCTACCAACGGTGACATAAGCCGGCCGCCCCGTTCCATTCACAGTCTCGGGCGTGGAAGATCGACGGGGCGCATCGCGGACATCGTCGCTGTCGTCGTCGTCTCGGCGGTGTCGGGCAGCGGACTTGCCTTTGGACACGGGCGGGAAGTAGCCCTGGCTCATGGCGATGGTGGCAATGGTGGCAGTGGTGGCAGTCGCTAGACGTCGGGATCCATGAAATATGCCTCTCTAGGCGTCGATGCTTTCAAGCGGCAGCAAAGGTGCGAGTGGTAGATTGGCCGATTGTTGGAATTAAGTGGTAGTTGGGAGAGGAGAAGAGTGGTCTGAGAAAAATACGATGTGACGATATATTGCCTGCATTGAACCCGCTCCGGCGGCAAGTTGCTCGAGTTAGGAGGCGTCCGACATTCAATTAGCAGAGCAGCTATCTATCTGTGGTTAGCTGCTTTTGGAACGGGGGCTAGCATTTAGATGATTGGCTATGTCATCTAGAATTGCCGACCGTTGCGAGTACCTAGGTACCTAGTCTATACAGTGAATGTATATTTACACTGTGTAGCCACTCTTATTTCTACCTCTTTTAGGTGCTTTGTCAAGCAATTAGCCATCCCGGCGCGGAGTGAAACACAGTATAAAGACCCGTGTACAGTGCGCAGTTACAAGGCAAGCACATGTTCCCCCAGCCTCTGTCTGACGTCGTTTTGATCCCACTTCTAGATAGTGTCCTAGGTGCCTAGGCAGGCACACTGCTACTGCAGCACAGTACCTACAGTGCACCCGCTATCTTATCTTCCTCCTCCTACCGCCGAGCAACGTTGGCCGAGACACGCATCAACAAGACGGGACGCATTTCACCAGGCAGCTAGGCTCCTAGATTATAGAAAGCCTGCTCCTCACTCACCAATTTGACTGCTTCCTCTTATAGTCCGATCATATAGTCAATCGAATCCAACTGAATTATTCCGCCACGACAGCAGCGATGAATGTGAGGATATGCCCACCTGAACCCGGAATAGCCTCCCTCCACACTCCCAAGAAGATAGGACAGGCTGCTAACAGTGGTTTGTGCCGTAGATCTTGGAATGGGCTTTCGGCAAACGCATGACGCCCGCCGAGCGTCTGCGCAAGAACCAACGCCTCCTCGACAAGGCCATTCGTGAGATCGACCAGCAGAAGGTCAAACTGGAGAGGCAGGAGAAGCAGCTCGTGAGCCAGATCAAGCAGAGCGCCCAGAAGGGCCAGATGGGTGCCGCCAAGATACAAGCAAAGGACCTGGTGCGCACGCGGAGGTCAGTACCGATACGCCTTGGATGTCCACGAGCCTTGCCGACTTACCCCTGCTCCCATGCCACAGATACATCGAGAAGTTCTACGGACTCAAGAGCAACCTGCAGAAGATATCTCTGCGACTCCAGGTATGTCGTGGTCTGTCTTGAATTCCCTACATTGCTAACACACGCTACTTGCAGACGCACCGGACAAACGAGCAGATGATGCAGGCCATGAAGGGTGCCACCATGGCCTTGGGAAGCATGAACCGCACCATGAACCTCCCCGCCCTACAACGGATTGCCATGGAATTCGAGCGCGAGAACGACGTAATGGAGCAGAGACAGGAGATGATGGACGACGCCATTGACGACGCTATGGATGTCGGCATAGA